AATCTTTTCCTTTATCTACATTTTATTGCCATTTAATGTTATTCAATGCATCTTTCTTTATGTTATTAAATCTGGCTATAATCACGCCCAATAATTATACTCGGCTATGTTTTTCTACTCATATTATTCGTCTCGGATCTAGAGTTAATTATCTTTAACTAGGATTTATCCCTTCATCTATTTGGTTGATTTGCTTAAAAAGTGTTAAACAACTTTTGAGTCAAACAATTTGGCGTCGTCTGTGGGGATTTTCTAGTTAAAATTTTAGTTTCCTCTAGATCTAAGATTCAATTCCGACTATGGAGCGTCTTCAGGGAAGCCAAACGAATTTGATACACCTAATAAAATAATGATTGAAGTACCTCTGTTGAATCATGGTTTCAAGGTGAGTAAAGATATGGTCTCAATATTGCTCCAAGAAATCATAAACAACTCAAGATATTTAGCTCAACTAGAAGGCCTTCGGTCCGTTGCATTAAAATAAAATCATTAGAGCTTTCCATTTGATCACTCGCCTCGTCTGCATTATCATGCAACAAAGACTATTACTGACAAATCTTTAAACAATATCCAAATCCAGAGCTATTGAAGTTTTATTGAATAAAAGATGTAGAATATTTGGGAATTACCCTGTCATATGCATTGACATCTAATCTAGATTTAAGAAGTGGCCCAACATTACACTTGGCTGCTGCTAAAATACCACGATTGAGAGGACAAGAAACTAGCTCTCAAGTATGGAGCACGGCGAAACATCCTCCGATATGGCTCACAACCCGTCATCAACCAAGTCACAGGGACTTTCAAAATAAAAGAACAAAGGCCACGAAAATATCAGGCAGGAATTCATAAGCTACTGCCCGAGTTTGACGAGTGTCAACTCGACCAGGTGCCCGAGCACAAAACATCGAAATAGACGGCCTTGCCAAATTGGTAGCGACCACCGAAAGCATAACCGGAGAAGGGAACGCGATCAAACTGAGGTAACAAATGCTTTTATATTGTTTTAACTAACTATTTCTCAAAATGGAATAAACGTAGGGGCAGTCACCCGAGAAACGCATCATATTCTCCAATGCAAGCAGAATTAAGCAAATTGGGACTCCCCAGGGAACCTTTTAAGGCTAAGTGCCTTCGCCATCAAGATCGACAAAGTTCAACAACAGTTGAACTGGGACTCAGGCTATGCGCCTTCGCCATTAAATCAAGGCTATGCGCCTTCGACAAGAAGTTCAACTACGATTGAACCAAGACTCAGGCTATGCGCCTTCGCTATTAAATCAAGGCTATGCGCCTTCGACAAGAAGTTCAACTACGGTTGAACCAAGACTCAGGCTATGCGCCTTCGCCATTAAATCAAGGCTATGCGCCTTCGACAAGAAGTTCAACTACGGTTGAACCAAGACTCAGGCTATGCGCCTTCGCCATTAAATCAAGGCTATGCGCCTTCGACAAGAAGTTCAACTACGGTTGAACCAAGACTCAGGCTATGGGCCTTCGCCATTAAATCAAGGCTATGCGCCTTCGACAAGAAGTTCAACTACGGTTGAACCAAGACTCAGGCTAAGTGCCTTCGCCATCAAATTTTGACAGTTCGACCTCGCTCGAACTGGGACTCAGGCTAAGTGCCTTCGCCATCAAAGTTTGACAGTTCGACCTCGCTCGAACTAGGACTTAGGCTAAGTGCCTTCGTCATCAAATTTTGAAAGTTCGACCTCGCTCGAACTGGGACTCAGGCTAAGTGCCTTCGCCCTCAAATTTTGACAGTTCGACCTCGCTCGAACTGGGATTAGGCTAAGTGCCTTCGCCATCAAATTTTGACAGTTCGACCTCGCTCGAACTGGGACTCAGGCTAAGTGCCTTCGCCATCAAATTTTGACAGTTCGACCTCGCTCGAACTGGGACTCAGGCTAAGTGCCTTCGCCATCAAATTTTGACAGTTCGACCTCGCTCGAACTGGGACTCAGGCTAAGTGCCTTCCCCATCAAAGTTTGACAGTTCGACCTCGCTCGAATTGGGACTCAGGCTAAGTGCCTTCGCCATCAAATTTTGACAGTTCGACCTAGCTCGAACTGGGATTCAGGCTAAGTGCCTTCGCCATCAAAGATTGATAGTTCGACCTCGCTCGAATTGGACTTAGGCTAAGTGCCTTCGCCATCAAATTTTGACAGTTCGAGCTCGCTCGAACTGGGACTCAGGCTAAGTGCCTTCGCCATCAAATTTTGACAGTTTGACCTCGTTCGAACTGGGACTCAGGCTAAGTGCCTTCGTCAAAAAAGAAGAGTTCGACCTCGTTCGAACCACGACGGGTTAACATTTCGACCAGCTCGAAATAACACCCCTACGGCCAAGGTCCATCGCCAAATAGAAGAATTCGGCCGTCCGAATCAACATTCGGCCTCGTCCGAATCAACCTCCGACCTCGTCCGAAACAACATTCGGCCCCGTCCAAATCAACATTCAGCCTCGTCCGAAACAACATTCGGCCTCGTCCGAATCGACCTTATGGCCAGGAGCCTTCGCCAAAGAAGAAGAGTGCGACCTTGATCGAACGACGACGGGTTAATATTACGACAAGTTCGAAATAACACCCGTTAAGGCCAAGGGCCTTCACTAAAAAGAAGAGTTCGACCTCGATCGAACGATGACGGGCCAGTATTTTGATAAAATCGAAATAATACCCTCTAAGGCCATGGGCCTTCGCCAAAGAGAATTCGAAATGTCACTAAGGCCAAGTGTCGTCAGAAAATACAAAGGGAAAGAAAGATCGGGACTCGCCATGCGGGAATCTACCTCGCACCAAAGTCGCGAAAAGCAAAAACATAGAAAAGTACACGGCGAATAACAATGAAAAATTCTTCTTTATACGACCCTGATCAATGGTCAAAAAAGACAGCTATCTTTTCACTCGGCGGCACCATCGCCACTCTCTTCACCACCATCTCCAAGATATTCTCCCTCGGCATCGGTATCCTCAGCTGCAACCCATACTAGTCGACCTCCCCATCCGAATGTCTCAAACTACAATTAATGGTCCGCTCACCGAGCTTGACCAAGAGACGACCTCGATAAGCGGAGGGACTAACTGTATGAGTCAAAATTAGACCAGAGAAATTCGGCACGCGAAGACATAAGGCCAAGGTCGGACCGTCACCAATAAAGCCAAGGTCGGACCGTCATCAGTAGAGCTGAGGTCGGACCGTCATCAATAAAGCCAAGGTCGGACAAGCCGAGGTCGGACAGTGATGAAACAACTAGTCTGCTTTGGAATCCTCAAAAGGAATATTCTACCGAATATTCCCTCTAATTGTACCTTTTCTTTTAATGTTTTTCTAGGAATACCCCTTATAAATAGGAAGGGAGGACTTCCCAGTAAGGGGCTCTCTCTCGGTCTCCCTCTCCCTCTTTCTAGAAAATATGTAAACACATCTCTCAAAAGAGAGAAGAGGATCTGTGATCCAAAACCTTCATCAGATCCAAAAAGGGTCCAATGGTTCTTGTATTTTGTCTATCATTCATCTTTATCAAATGAAAGAAGATCCGACTAACTCAAGATCGGGTGAATCTTTTCCTTTATCTACATTTTATTGCCATTTAATGTTATTCAATGCATCTTTCTTTATGTTATTAAATCTGGCTATAATCACGCCCAATAATTATACTCGGCTATGTTTTTCTACTCATATTATTCGTCTCGGATTTAGAGTTAATTATCTTTAACTAGGATTTACCCCTTCATCTATTTGGTTGATTTGCTTAAAAAGTGTTAAACAACTTTTGAGTCAAACACTTGGAATGGTGTCAAAAAATTTAACGAACAGTTACTCTCTTTACTAAATCAAAATCATTCTCTACTATTTGATCATCTTAAACAGTTGAAAATAATCCCAAAAAAAATAAAATAGACACCAATTGGAAGAAAACGACTTACTTCATGTTCCCAACTTTAACCGGGAGATCATTAATTTCAACTTTCACTACTCAAAAATACTCTCAAAACGTACGCATATTCTAATTTTCAACTAAGTATCAAAAAAAGAGGGAAAAAATTAACATAAAATCAATACAGGATAGTTTTTAAAATTAAGACTTGATATTGATAGAACTATTACGTTATACCAATTTCTCATATTGTCTTACTCGTACCAGGTGTTTAAATCAATATAATAATAACATGACATGTGTCTTCTGCATGTATACTCTTTTATCGCCTAAATTTGGTTAATTAATATGCACTTTCACCTTATTTATCATTTAATTATAGTAAAACACCTTAGTGTGGTGTAAACAACGGGTGCAAGTAACTTATTCACACCAAATATATACACCAAACCACTAGATACATGATATATGTTTGCATATAGATTTCTTTAACCTAATCATGGTTAACTAACACAATATCACCTTATTAAATTACTTAACCATAATAAGTATGCATCTACAACGCTATCAGATGGTAGGATGGCTAGCGTGATATTTCGTGCGTACATTTATTCAAGAGATAGAAATTGGGAAGAGAAGTTTCCACTTCCTGGCTGTAAAGTTAAGCAGTACATGTCCAAATGAACTAGTCCTTACAGATTGAAGAAATGTTCTACCCCAAATAGGTTATAAATGACTTCTTTATCTAGTTGAATAAAAATTGCAGGAATAATTTCGAAATTATCAAAAGTTTGCATTTTACAGGTTCACACCAGTAGTAGCCCAAAGAGTTTGTACTTTTTAAAGTTTTCTCCGTCTATTAAGATAAATTTAATGTTTTATTCTTGTCAGCTAACATGCACGTATAGGTGCATGTTTACACCTATACAGATTCATTTAACAATGGAATCAAGAAGGAAAAGGCACGAGTGTACCAATTAATGAACTGATCTTGGTAGGGTGTGTTACATGTTGATATCCCTTTGAATAAGATGAAATTGATTTCAACATTAAATGAGATGTAAACACCAGAATACAATGTAAACAGAGGTAACTGCACAGAATAGGATGCATATAAATGGAGATCAAGGTTCTTTTTCTTCTTTGTTCTATACATATCTTACAAAAATATATATCAACAGTTGTAGCACATCAGCATCAGCTTTCTGAAAAAATAGCAGTGAACCAAAAAACAAATTTAGACAATTGACTCAAGTGCTGCTGTGGCTTCAGCCCCTCAAGTCCTGCCAAAAGAAGGCAGACAATTCTATAACACTTCCCCGAGTAACTCATATAGTCGGATTAACTCAGCCTCTTCTAATACAAAGATTCTCTAGCCTTCTGACCCGACTCCATTTCGAGCAAGGTCTGAAATTGCAGGGAGTATACTCTCTGTCTCTCTACCCTCCTCCCAATATAAATACTAGGCTTTGTCTATGGCACGGTTCGAATCCATGATGTGCACTTAATCAATACATCACATGCTGCATCCTTACCATTGAACCAATGCCCCGGGGTCCTCTTTAAATACAATAAAGTCACCTTTCAAATTTCCTCTACTGAAATTTCTCTGAGCTCTTCTCCTCAAGGTCACTGCTATTGTTTATGTACCTATATTGTGACTCCGGCAGAGTTGGATTCCTTCCTGAAATATGATCGTTGTATCTGTTTATGACATTTGAATGATTGAATGGTGTCTTACAGATACACGAGGATGGAAATTCATGAAACTCTCCACGCCCTGGTCTCATTTCCTCAGGTTCTCCCATGAATCCTCTTTGGCATGATTTGACCTTTCTGGAGAATGTCTCCCAGTCCATCTTATTTCGAGCCATGAACAAAGCGCTGAGTCTTTTGGCATTTGGTCTGATGGTCCTCTTGTGCCCCATGTACCTCCTTTGGCATGATGAAGAAAGAAAACATTAGCTCAATGGTGAAACAAGAAGATAGGAACATGAATAGAAATCAACGTACAAAATTTCTGAGTTGCAACTATCTATCTAAAAGATGTTGAAATTGAACACTTACTTCCAGTATTAACCTACTTCCAAAGAAATAAGCTAGAGTTTAAATCACAACTAATCTGAAAGTTCTAGAATCAACAAACTTAATCTCCACATTAGTTACTAAGTTTAAAAGTCATAGAACTCTCAGACAAAGTTTAGGCAACCAAATTTATATTCCTGAATTTTTTTCAATTGACACGAGAAAGAATTCCGTTTTGGTTTACGACATAAACTCTTGAAGCAAATAAGTAATTATTAACTGATTCAGCATGATTTTCTCCAACATGATTTTGTTCTATCATTTCGTGACACAGTGGCCACTAAATTTGCTCAATTTTCTTAACCATGGACCGATAGCACAATGCGCTTTAATCTTGATTCCTTTTTCCCTTTTGCTTAGCTTAGACAAACTTAGTTCAACGAAGTAGACACATGTACCATGCTAAGCACAAAAAACAGGTGTCCTCTGAACAAATGTTTAATCAGATATGCAAGTGTGCTGAAAAGGAAAAGCAAAAAATAAGAGCCTCACCTACTACCAGCAAGGATCTTAGCCATGTTCCCATTATTGTTAGTGACAAATACATCACTTTCATCACATACAATGTAGTCAATTGCTGCGAGACGAGAAGAGTAAGGAAGAAAAGGTTTCAGCTCATCACCAGCAACCATCTCTTTGGTATAAAAGTTTGGAAACAGCTCTTTTAGAGGCTGGAGAGTTTTTTCTCCACCATATATTTCACCAGATGCAACATAAAGGTATGTATCATTTTTGAAGCCAAGCGCCCGCAGCATAAGCCCAACTTCGTGGGGTGTTAACGGACATCTCCCTCGAGTTCGCTCTTCATCAGGGCTCAGCTCCTGAAGCCACAAGTTGAATAGGACTGTGTTATCAAAAAGTATGGAAAACCTTAATTTTGCGATAAGGTATACAGATCATATGAGGTCCAGTTGAATAAGGAAAAAACGAGGAAAGGAGGGTTTTTATTTCTTTTGTGGGGGGGGGGGGGGGGGGTACCAGTCTGCACTGCACTCTTTTACAAAAAAAAATAAGATGACATATGTTAAGCATATAAGACTGACCCACATTTAGTGGTATTTCGACATTTCTTCTACAAATGCAAAAACAAAGATATGGTTGTAAAGTAATCATCATTCATTACTCCTGTAAAAACCATATTTCATCTTTCCAAGTTATTCCAGAAAAAGAAAGCATTTCAAATCCTAGTGTCCTCGAACCGTGCAATACTCAAATAGAATAATGAAGAGCTATGAGCCAGAAAACAGTTGTAAGTTCTATGACATGGCAATAGATTGATAAACTCGAAGATCCCAGATAGACACAATAATAAACAAATAGGAAAAGGCCACCCTTCCCCAATCTAGGGGAAACATATAGATCTGGACTTTACATTTCTGAGAAGACTCTTTCTTTCTCCACAGGACCAACTTGTTAGTGATTTGACACTTTCAATTTCTTAATCAATAAAAAAAAATCCTTAATCTGACAAAGCAGAAGTAACATTGCCTAAATTGCCAAGTAGTAATGAACAAAGTCATAATTATTTAAGGAAAGAAATCCTACAGGTAAAGTGGCCCATCTTTTTCTTATCTCACCCAATTCATATCTTTCCTTATCACTCCCGCCATAGTAGCACCCAGAAAATGCTAGCATATCAGGTTCAAACCTGAAATATATATATGTATCAGAGCAACACACGTTAAGTGCCAATGGAAAGCAAAAATGTGAAAGGAACTCTCTTGGATAACAGACATATATAACAACACACGTTATCATTATTACTATTATTATTATTATATCTATCTTTTTTACTTGCACTTTTATTTATTTCGATAATGATGATGATATGAGTTGAGCTAAATGAAAGGAATGAGGATTCATATTGCCGACCCCAACTTGTTTGGGACTGAAGCGTGGTTGTTGTTGTAGTGAAGGCATAACAGGTACAACTCGTAATCTAAACACACATCTAACACTTAGCTGACACAGATATTCAAGTACTATCAAGTCAGAAGGTCAAAACACCGTTTTGTCCTTTCAGCAAAAGAAACACATGGATCTTGCAGTTCATTTTACGTTTTTTTTAAAGTCTTTGTTACCAAACAACTAATTAGGATTTCTCTTACTCCCTTAATTGTCTATGATCCTTCCCCAGAGCATACAAACTTGATCTCAAGTTGATATGCAATTCTTAAGAATTATGAATATAAATGAAAGAATGCTTACATGGTTTGAGCAAGCAAATCTCCATATCATATTCGGCAGGAAGCTATACAGCATTAAGAATTTCTCTTCTTCTTTTGGTAATGGTTCAGAATATTACCCCACCAGATTAGGAAGGCAGTCAAATTTTTCTCTAAGCTTCAAATGTAAAAGAATGGGTTTTTCCATTCATTCACTTAGGTATAAGGAGGTTTAGCCAATACACCCCCTCCTTCCTATAATCACTTTTTGGTTTCCACTGCCACCTTAGGATGGATATGGAACTTCTAAAAACAAGAGAGGATTTTGAAGGAAAAAAAGAAGAGAAAAGGTTTACAGGATTCTCATGACAGACAGCTCCATCAGGAATTAGGAAGGTTTCCTTTTTAGGAAAATTGTAAACTATATGGCAAGACCCTCTTACTTGGAATCATGGGAAAGATTTTGAATCTCTGTGATTGTGTAATTAGGAGGAGGAATTGCTTTTCTTTCTTTTTCAGGATACTTGTAACTACTATTTAAACCACCATGCTGGAGGAATAATCAGGAAAGTCATTCCCAAATTCTCTTCTCTTCATTCTTAACATAGTAACAAAGCAAGGCCCATCAGTAATCCTGGTTTATCCAATATTGGATACCCATGTTATACTGTTCTCACACCAAATGTCCAGTCATGCTCGTGCAGGGGAGTGTTACATGTGTTACATGTGTTACATTGATTAAGGTAATGGATGAATTGCAAACCTATTGACGCTTCTGTGGGCTGAAACTCTAAGCTTCTTCTCACACAAGGGAGCCTTTGAAGGACCCCCTTTATCATCGAAGATTGGTTGACAAGCGTAATTATCTTACCGACCAGATATCTCATTGGCTGTTAATGTTACTAGTTTCACCAAACTCCTTGTGAATGTCATTGAAATACAGTAAATTCGCCTTCTAAGGTATACAAAATGTTCACCTGAATAGGGTCTGTTGTATGAGGATATGGAACATGCATATATTATTGGGCACTCTGATGCTGACCGGGCTGGATCTCCTTCAAAGAGATGATTTACTTCAGGGTATTGTGAAATCTAATAATATCTTTTTTAATTGGTATTCTGCGCCTGCACTTTATCTAACTACTACACCTTGCTTTTTTGCCTTTTGTTTTTCCAAGATAGATTTCTTTGTGCTTTTCCAAGATATTATTTACTGTTAGGTGTGCTTTTACAAAAAATCTAATATCTTGGAAAAAGAAAAAGCAAGATATAGTAGCTAGATCAAGTGCAGAGGCAGAAGACCGAGCAACGACTTTGGCTACATGTGAGCTTATCAACTTTTTGAAGAGTGAAGGTGTGGAGGAGATGCACCAAAGCAATAGATCTGTGACAATCATGTTGCATACAAATTGTATCAAACCCAGTATTTCATGATAGACCAAAGCATATAGAAGTAGATTGTCATTTCATTCAACAAAAGTTGAGTCAAAGAGCGTTGTGAGAGATTTTGTCAGCTCGAGTGATTTGTTAGCAAGCAGACATTCTTACGAAGTCACTTCATGGCTCCAGAACTGAGTATATTTGCAACAAGTTGGAGAATACAATATGCACACTCTAGCTAGCAGGGAGTGTTAAGAAATACAAAGGTTTCCCTATTAGGAAAATTGCTAATACAGCAAGATCACATTCCTTGTAAATACAAGAAAAGTTTTGCATCCCTGTGATTGTGTATTTAGGAATAGAAATTAATTTCTTTCACTTTTAAGGATTACTTGTAAACACTATTTAAACCCCAACATGCTTTAGGGAATAATTGAGAAATTCATTCCCAAATTCTTTCTTTACAAAACACAAAATCCTCAAAGTTCCAGCATTAATTTTCAGTTCCACAATTCAGACTTTGCTTTGTAATATTGCTTGCTAAGTTAAACAGATAGTAGCCTAAGGTTTGATTTCGAACACAGTAAGTCAAACAAACCTCAAATGAACTGCAATGAAACGTCTTGCCATCTTTCGCATACGCACTACAAGTTTCTGACCAAGATTCCTTATGGGCTTAGTGAATTTTAAGGCATGATAATTCACACGGCAACGCAATTTTTGCAGCTCTTCATCAAGGTCATTAGCAAGCCGATAATCAAATTTTGTCAACTGAAGAACCTGCATACAATTTGGAGATCAAACATTAATAAAACATGAGCAGAAGCATCCACTTTCTACTATCAATTTTTGACTCGTATACTCGATGAGCATAAATTCGTAAAATGTGTGTTCTTTCATCAACTGCTAAATTCCACGTCTTGAAGTTGTTACTATAGACTTAAGGATAACTGAAACAACGAAAGCTGCAGTGAATTTTAAATAACATTTAAGAGATCGTATGATGTCAATATGGTTCCTAGATGACCAGGTAGACCAACTGATACGGAATCATATCAAAAATACAGATATTGCAAAAATACGCGGAATCAAAAAGATAGAAGATTAAGGTTTAAAATAGAGAAAGATAAGAATTTAACTATGAACAAGTTAAACCCCTTGAATTTCCTATGATGAACACCAATCAATGAAGAGCACGAATAAGAAACACGGATTAAGAAAAGTAAAGAATGAAATTCAAAGCCCCTAGTAAATATATTAACTAGAACAAGGAATAACATTCAAATACATAAGATAATCCAAGAGTATGAACATGAACTCATACAAGATTAACCTAACATAGATAATCTAAGAAAACATGGTAAATAAAGAGAAAATAAAGATACCCTAAACCTCTCAAGGTTGTCTTTGTTTATCAATCCATCACAAGCTTTTTTCTCAAGATGAGTAAGGAACTATTTATACTAGAGTGTTAGTTAGGCTAAATGACCGAAATACCCTTAAGCTAGTAAGGAGGCTATGTAGAGCCAAATTACAAAGCTAGCCCAAAATAGCATAAATTGTTAATATAGCCACACTTGATCTTGACCCCTTTAAAGCACTCCAATGCTATGATGTTGACTTGAAAATCATCCTCGTCAAGCGCCCTAATCCGGCGTGTATCACCAATTGATAAGTATGATACACATTTACACAATGGATATGAGACTATGAATCTATGAATGGGGAAAGTCGATTGATTGTTAACATGTTCTCTTAAGTTAGGTAAAGCAGATATTACATTCATTTTAATGGTCCCTGTAAATTTAACCACTCAATTTTGACTATTCCACTACCTCATTAACCAGGGGAACTAAAATATCTTCCATTTAAGCATGCCATTATCAACACAGACCTATATAAACATGACAAAATGTTATGATCATGCAAATTTATGACCTCAACATAATCCATCTGAAAGAGCTTTTAGAACAAGAGAAGTGCTCCAAGTCTCCAACCATACCATGATATAACTATGCCTAGAGAAAGAGTAGAAACAACATTAGTCTCCAGAACAATGACTTCAATACATGGTTTATCTGTGCCACATAACATCTCTGTGATCGAGAATAGCTACGTCATACATGGGCTCCGTTAGATTCTAGAAACATAAAGATGTGTGCATCCTGCAACAGACCATAGTTTAGGATTTCTACACTTGACTGCCTAAACAGCTCCCAGAAGAGTGACCACATTCCCTAAAGTTCACTTATAGTTTTTTGGGAAATATGAGGTTACGGTTAGAAAACAGAAGCTAGTATAGGTGAGTAAATGATTGAACAGATATGATAAAACACAGTATTAATTGTTCTGCTTTTTGTTTACTTACACGTCTCCTTAAAAGTACAGGCAATACTTGGTCCGAGTAATATTCAGGTTCTGATTTTCTTGGAACGCGCATGGTATATGGAGGTTTTTGCATTAACTTCATGACCTTCACTGGAACTCTTTTAACAATACTGACATCCTTTGCAAGGTATGAGATGAACCATTTAACATCAAAGATGTTGACAAAATCACTGCAGGTTAAAAGGATATCGTAGTAAAAAAAAGAGTCGAACTGCTTCTGCTATTATGATCCACTATGAACTTATGCAATAGACACTCCCAAAAGTAACTTTAAAATGCCCACCAACCTATCATCCTTCCAAAATGAATGATGGTCCAACTCAGGTACAACTAAAGTGGCATTAAGAATCCGTGCAACAACCACAGCATCCGTTATCTGGTAAGCACGAGATAGGTTCCAAAGGTTAGATTACTGAGATACAGAAATGAAATTAGCAAAAGCAAACCGTTTGAGAGAACTTATCAATACAAAAGAAAACTCTTTGAGAGATGCCAAAGATTAGTGGATAAACTATATCAAGTCAAGAACATTATACTTACTCCAGTCCTTTGTTGGTTGAGTCCTCCGCTAGTTGCAATAAGTAGATATCCATTTGAAGATCGCACACTCACAGCAGCTACATTTCATTTCGGAAACATTAGAGTCCAAGTTATTCTCACCAAAATTGAAGAGAGATACAGAAGCATATAAATGAACTTCAAACCTAAATAGACAGGAGAAAGACTTTAGGCGATTAAAACAATAACTAAGTGCAAGTGCTCGTCAAGTATATAAAATAAGCATGTTTTAACTCCTATTGTGTCAAATAACAAAAAGCAGCAAAATCCAATGCAATGACCTGAACAATAATTTACTCACTTCTACACATCAACTACGATGCTAGATATGGCAATAAGGCTACTCTTTCTTTAAGATGACTGATGGGAGAGTGAAGATAAGAATAAGATTATTTTAAAAAATTACACTAGATCAGGCAACTTAGCAAATTTGCTTTTCATTGACTTTCTTTTCACCTTCTTGTTGGAAAGAAAATCAAATCAAGCAACAAATAGCAGGTGCAAGTAGCGTATATAGGAAAAAATGAGAAAAGGCGTGGGAACTAAAAACCATCTATTCTTAAAAGTATGACGCTGGCCAGCCAACTCTCTTCACATCTTTCCCATACCCAAATAGTAAAAAACAAAGACTATATATTTCTGGCGTGGAAGAACCAATTCGCTCTCTGACCTCTTCCTCCAAACATAGCACTCTACTTTTTTATAATTGTCTGGAGAATATATTGTAACATTATAGTTGAAATCATAATTTCCATAACTCGTTTAAGATGCCAAAAGCGTCGTGGAAAACCTCCAAGCCTCACTTTCAGATTTTGACCAACCAAATAATGTTGCCTAAAAACAATATGTGATACGAGTAATAACATCATAAACAGTTAGGACACTGAGTATCTGACGAAAAGCGGTTACTTACAAGCAAAACGAGGGCCACTCTCACTGCATCCAAGGTAAGATGCGGAATACCTTGACTTCCAAATATCGATTGGTGCACCTCCTTCCTAAAATATAGTATCAAATAACAGAAATGTGATGCTTCAAACCACCTGGATAGTCCAGCGAAAACTAATCTTTAACCTTCATAGCAGCTAGCTAGTGTTGCAGCCATAAATTTCAGTTTTCCTATAAACTTAGTGCCAGATAGCAAAGGAACAGTGAAATTCATTATTGTTACAACAGATAAAAAATCATTTGATCACTCACCAGAAAACTTATAACATGAGATTCTGAACTCTCCCTTTGTATTCTATCGAACCCAAAAGCAAAAAAGAGTTGAAACAATTTGTCAAATTTTGAAACAAAAATCAAATTTTGCGTACATTCTAAATTGGTCGAAACAAAAACATTTTGAGAAAAACATAAATAGAGTGAGAATGAAGCTAATTGACCATTTCTGTTTATGGATACATTTAAGATTACCTGATTGTAGAACCAAGAAGGTTTGAGGAGTGGCTGAGAGTACCATTCAAGATTGGATGCCACGTAGCCAGTGAAGAGTGAAATCAAGCCTAAGGCAAACAACATGAACCCACAAAAATTGGTACATGAGATCAGTCGCCGTGAACAACAGCTGAACAAGAAATGCTGCTGCTTCTGGGGATTATTAGCCAATACCCCACAACTATACATCCAAAATTTCATATCTACAGCTACTTGATTTTGATCTTCTGTTAATCTTTTTTTATTATATTAGGACTATACTATCAAACCACAATAGGGAATGACAATGAATCAATGCTCATATTATAAGAAGTTGCTACAAGTAGTGACAGACTGGAGCTTTCTCAAATGTAGAGTGTCATAGCCCTTTTCTTCCTTCCTTTTTTTTTTAGGGTCGGTTTGGAACCCACTAGCTAATTGGAATTGTTATAATTACTAGGATAGCATAATATGGTAATTACGATGATTTATTTATTTGTGGTAAGGTAATTACAATGTAATTACAAACGTATTATTTGATTGCACAAGTGTAATTACACAGTTAAATTAAATTTTAAATGAAGCAATTGTAACGACCCGACAGGTCGTTTTGAGCTCTAGTGTGTCGTTCGGCGGTTTGAGGCCACGAGCAACTTCATTTCAGGTATTATGACTCGTACGCGTAGTCGGAATTGAATCTCGGGAAATTTGGAGTTGATTTGGAAAAAGAATTTTCATTTCAGAAACCTTAAGTTGTAAGAATTGACTAATAGTAGATTTTTGAGTAAACGACCTCGGAATCGGGATTTGAAGGTTCCAGCAGGTTTGTATGATGATTTCAGACTTGGACGTATGTTCCGATCGGGTTTTGGATGACCCGGAAGCGTTTCGGCGCCTATTGTGGAAGTTAGCATTTTAGAAGAATTTCATAAATTTGGGTTGAAGTGCATTTCAATGCTATCGATGTCCGTTGGGGATTCTGAGTATGGGAATAGCTTCGTGTGGTGATTCTGGTATTGGGAGCGCGATCGGAAGTGGATTTGGAGGTCCGTAGGTCATTTTGGAGTCATTTGGCGAAAGTTAGAAATTTGAAGGTTTTTGAGAAGTTTGACAGAGAGTTGACTTTTTGATATCGGGGTCGGATTCCGATTCTGAAAGTTGGAGTAGGTCCATAATGTCGAATGTGACTTGTGAGCAAAATTTGAAGTCATTCCGGATTGATTTGATATGTTTCGGCGCAAAATATAGAAGTTGGAAGATTTGAAAACTCATAATTCGATTCGATGCGCGATTCATGATTTCGACGTTGTTTGATATGATTTGAGGCCTCGAGCGAGTTCGTATCATGTTTTGGGACATGTTGGTATAATTGGTTAAGGTCCCGAGGACCTCAGATGGATTTCAGAAGGTTAACGGAATGGATTTCGGACAAAGAAAGCTACTGAAATTCTATTACAGAAGCTGTTCACCAGAAAATTTCTGATGCGAGGAGTCGATTTTAGAAGCTCATATATTGCAATCTATAAGGAATCTAATAATTTTGAAATAAGAAAGTTGTAGCCCTTGCATTCTAGTTTCCATAAAGATAAACCATTCATCATTTGGATATTTATACAGAAAGTTATGGTCGATTGAATGAAGGCTGTAAAGCTGTTTTGCAATTTCCCCAGAAATTTCTGATGCGAGGAGCCTACTTTGGAAACTTATATCTCGAAATACATAAAGAATCTGAAAATTTGCAAAATATGAAAGTTGTGTATCTTTGATTCTAGTTTCCAGAAAATTAAACCATTAATCATTTGAATATTTGTACAAAAAGTTATGGTCTGTTGACTGAAGGCTGATAGTAGTTCATTTTTGCCCGAAAATCAGGCAAAGTCGCATTTCATACCTGCGACTTGCCTAGGCAGAATGCCTAAAAACGGGAGTCAGCCATTTTTACTCATTTTTGAGTTTTGAGTTCGGATTTGGGCGATTTCTGGAGCTTTTGGAAGAGGGTTTTCACCTAGCACTTTGAGGTAAGTAATTTCTACACAACATGAGTTTAATACATAGATTATGGATAGATTAACATGTAAAAATTGGTGAAATCAAGGGTTTAGATGAAAACCTAGATTTTGTATAAAAATGAGATTTGACCACGAAAATGGTTATGAAATTTGGTAAAAATCATATATTTGACTTCATAAGGTTATGGGTAACAACTTTCTTCTAAAATTTCCGGAATGCGAGAACGTGGGTCAGGGGGTGAATTTTAGGAATCTTACATTTAGGGTTTGGTAATCACCTTAATAGTTGGAATATGAATTTTTGAACATGTATTGATTAGTTTATACACTATTTCATTAGTTTTGGATTGTTCCCCACCGAATTGAGGGTTTGAGCATAATCTTGGACCGGAAAGTGGGTTTCGGAGCGAAGTCTCCTTTCTAACCTTGTAAGAGGGAATTATCCCCATAGGTGAAATAATTAAATATGTGCTTCTATTTGTGGGGGCTACGTACGCACGAGGTGACGAGAGTCCGTGCGTAGCTACTATTATGCTTAAGTCCGGGTAGTCTAGGACCCGAAAGCATGCTATACTTGAAATATTTGTTACCTTATTTCCAATTTAAATTGCTTAAATCATATCGAATTGGTAAATGAATTTCTAAAGAAATTAAACATCATTTTCTTGACCGTTAAAGAGAAGTTGCCATTTCTTTGGGTAATTGTTTCCCTGATGAATTCTTCATTGACCGTTTGATGTGTTTATTTATATTTGACCGCGTCACATGTATGATTCGCGAGCGGGATAATAGATGCATCTATGGTTCCCGCCATTCGACCCTCTGGCAGTGCACCATTTAAATATTATGTTGGATCGGGTCGTGCAACCTCGACATGATTTGCGCATGCTTGTATTGCTTGCCTTGAAATTCATAGATATTAATTTTTGTTTCTCCCTGGCCTGAGATAAATGTATAAATGATGAAATAAATTTGGAAATTTCCTATAAACGAAAGAACTGTTTACTTGCCTCATGCTATTTGAGTTACCGTCATCTTTATGAAAATCCTCGATTTATTAAATTATTGGTATATTATCATTGGACCACTAGTAAGTATCGAAGTCGACCTCTCGTCTCTACTTCTTCGGGATTAGACGGGATACTTACTGAGTACACATTGTTTTTGTACTCATGCTACACTTGCTGTGCATTTTTGTTGCGCAGGCACATGTACCTCTAACGGCCTAATGGGCGTAGCAGCATGGATGATACGGAGACTTAGGCGAGCTGCATCTCTCGAGGCGACCCGCAGCCAGCATAGTCTCTTTCAGTGTATTATATGTACTTCCTGTCCAAATCTGTATTCCGGACAGTTAGGGTACTTCATTTGATTTTCTAGTGATTGTTCATGCACTTGTGACACCGGGTTCTGGGATGATTATGGGATATTTAATAATAAAAGTTGTAAATATTTTTATTTATTTAGTGATGATTACCTTTTTACTAGTTAAACTAAAGGAAATTATGGTTCCTAAAATATTAAAATGAGAGTTTAATTAATTACTCAATGTTGTCTTGCCTGACCGAGGTGTCCGGCACCATCACGACCTTTGATGGATTTTGGATCGTGACAACAATTATCAAAATTTAAAAGTTAATATAATGAATATATGCCTATAATAATTTATTTATAAGTATAAATGATATTAGATGTAGTATTTAAGATGTATAGTTTTTCTTTAATATACATTAATTATAATCATATATTTAAACTGATATTATAAAAATAATAGATATATATTTTTTCAATTAATAATATTTAATTTAATCAATTATAAAAACTACAAATATACGTTTTGTAAGAACATCATGGAATGCATGTTTGATAAAGTAAATTAATATTTATAAGTATAATGTCATAACATTATCCATATATTTGACAAAACTAATATATCAATTCTAACTAAAAAAAATGAACAACATGCAATGTGAAATAACAAGTCAATACTACTAAAACAAGTAAATTAGAACCATGAATATAACATGGTTTCAAAATCCAAAAAAAAAAAAAAAAGTTTAACATATGTTGTCCAACATAATAAAAATAAGTTCCAATACAACATAAGATTAGAAAACATAATAAGTTTGTAGCTTCATTCAACAACGAAATTCTACTTTAATGACATCACTCATCGTATCCCAAGTTTATTAATGACTCATTATTTCTAATACTATAAGGTGTAGTTTCAAAAACTAGAATAATAACGCGGTTATGCTAAATGAAGAAAATAAAGCAAATAAGAAATAAAATATACGAGCAATTACATGGATTCACAAGAAATAAAGGTAGAGAAATAAAAGATAAATAATGTACAAAGAAAATTATATTTTAAAATTAAAAAGTAAAATAAAATAAAAAATTTAAAATAATGGAAATAAAAAGTTATAAAGAAAAAATTAAAATAAAAACTAAAAGAAAAATAATTAAAAAGTAACCTTGTAATTACCACTAATTGTCATATCCCCTTAAGAATTGGAGAGTGTAATTACACTATTGAAAGGGAGCATTTGGGCTGAATTGATCGAAGAGGAAAGATGTAGACGAAGAGAGAGAAGAAAGAGAGAGAATTCTTTGTTATGATATTCAGAAAAATAGAAGCCTCACTATGCACATGTATATCTATCCTTATTTATACTACCTACTCACTTAATATAATTAATTAGCTTAACTAATCAACTAACCATACATCTAAAATTAACTAACTCCAACTAACCGGTACAACTCCCACAGCCTATGTACAAGTATTTCTACTACTGCTCTTTTCAACACTCCCCCTCAAGTTGGGTGATGAAAAAATGTTGATCATCCCCAACTTGCAAACCATCTCACTATGTAGTTGTTTTCAAGTGCCTTGGTTAGTATATTTGCAATTTGATCGTTACTAGGAACATAAGCTGTTTTAATCATGCCCTGTTGTAGCTTTTCTCGGATAAAGTGGCAATCAATCTCTATGTGCTTTGTGCGCTCGTGATACATTGGATTTGAAGCAATCTGTATGGTTGCTTTTTTGTCATAGTACAACTCCATAGGTAAATCAACATGCATTCCTAATTCCTCCAGCAGCCCATGTATATAAGTTAACTCAGCCACAGTGTTGGCCATGCTTCTATACTCAGCCTCTACTGAGCTTCTTGAAACTGTGCTCTATTTCTTAGATTTCCAAGAGATCATGGAGTCTCCAAGTTTTATGCAAAAGCCTGTAACAGACTTCCTAGTCACTGAGCAGGATGCCCAGTCTGCATCACAGAATGCAGTTACCTTCCTACTCTGTTTGCTACTCATTAACAAACCTTGTCCTCGACGATTCTTGATATATCTCACTACCCTCAATGATGCATTATAATGGGACTATTTTGGTGCAT